TAATTACTATTAAAACTTATATATTAATACGCTTTATTCTCATTAAGAGATATATAGGGTATTTATTCCGATTACAAAGGATGATTCCCGTATCGTCATTTTACGTCACTACCTCCACGTTGCGCGTCTGCTGCTTTCCTTGGATGTGGTAGCTGTTTCTCAGACTACCTCTCCGGAATCGAACCCTGATTCCCCTTTACCCGTTACAACCATGATATTGATAGTAACTACTAGAGTAACATGTAACTAAAAAGTGAAAAATAAATATAGTTTAAAAAAACTAAAAAACACGCTTTTAAAGAACATCGAACTAAAAAGTTAAAAATAATTTTTAAAATAAGCGTAAAACAATAATGAACGAAATGTACTAATATTATTATGATAAAAGCGTGGGTGCTTTGTGCTATATTTTTCGTATATTGAGCGCCCGACGCTTTTATCGCTTATTGTTTTACGCTTATTTTAAAAATTATTTTTAACTTTTTAGTTCGATGTTCTTTAAAAGCGTGTTTTTTAGTTTTTTTAAACTATATTTATTATCGTAATATATCACTTAAATAAAATCATAGTAATCATTTCTAATTAACGTTTGGTGTTAAAAAAGATTCTACAATGGAAATATTCAGAATTTAATTAATTTTAATGATTATATATCTAAAAAAAAAAAGTTGTTAAAAAGATTTACTCAATTGAGCGTATTATAAAATTTAATTATAATTGTAAAAATCCATCTTTAAATTCAGGTGAAACTAAAAATCACTTTTCTTTTAAATTTATGATTTATATAGCAACATGTTACAAAATTTGTAATATTATAGANAAATTTATGATTTATATAGCAACATATTACAAAAAAATTTGGCATATTATAGACTGGTAGTAGCACACATAAATAGAGTTAAAAAATTAATAAATTATAAAGTAAAATTATTTACTTTTGTAGTTGAATACTTTTATCATATCAAATCTAATTCGACAATAAATACTTTAAGAATATTAGAAATTAATGATTTTAATTGTTTGTATGGAAAAAGCTGGTTAAGCTACTTTTTATTTGAATAAGGACTATTTTTTCGATTTTTAAGAGTAGTAAATTAAACTAAATTCGAATTGTCATCATTTGACGTATCCTCGAAAAAAGTAGGTCTAGTGAGGGTTGGCAAAATAAATCGTAGCCACAAAAAAACCACATAGTAAAATAATATTAACATGAATATAAATTTCTTCTCACGAGGGAAGACTATAGTAATAAGATCCTTTATATTTATTGAAATTATTGAATCTAAATGAGATAAATATCAAATGATTTGAAAATTTTATTCTAACTCAAAAAAAATGCAAAATATTAATTGCCACAGTCGGATATGAACTTCATCCTCTAAGCGTGAAAGACATAAGCGTACCGATTCGGCAACTGTTCGTTGCTTTCGACATATAATTAAATAGGCTATTTAAGCTAACTCAAATTAAAAAATTACTTTTTCGACTAAAAATATAAAAAAATTTTAATAAGTTTAATTTCTTATGTCATATGAACTTTATTCTATGTCAATTAAATTATATAATATTCATGAAAGTCAGTGTATTCCCCTAATAAGATATTTTAAAATAAAATTTTCGATTTTCAAAAGTTAAGTTGAAAAAGTTAGTTTTTGTAAAAAAGTTGCTATTTTAAATCCCCCCTGTGAGCAAAATAAGTGTTAGATTTTCAAAAAAAATGATATCAAATGAATGGAAATTACCTAAGATTTCAATATAAAAAAATATTATTTTGATTTGTTAATATTTGAAAAAGTTATGGGAGTTCCAAGTACAAAAAACATCCCATAAAAAGTGATTTTTATCGCAAACATTACATTTTTTTTCATATTTTGGAGGCAATTTACTCATAAACGATAAGGTGTCGGTACAAATTTTTTTTTTCATTTTATAGTACATGATATAACCTTTGATTTGATATATGTTTGAAGGACGCAGTATTTCCGGAACATTTTCAAAAATTAAGTTGAACAAGTTAGTTTTTGTAAAAAAAAAAAAAAACACATCATGGTAAAATTAATAGCTTCTCAGCTTCGCATCGAAGCTAAAAATTGAAAACATTTCGAAAAGTAACGATTTTTAAATTTGTAATTTTTTTGGAGGTTTCCCTCATTTATGGGGAACGAGGGAAATTTTTTCAATTTTTGAGGATAATGTCTTCGACTAGATACGATTTGTGATCTTTTGACGTATCGTTGAAAGAAATCGGTTCGGTGAGAGCTAAGTAAAAGTGGCAACACAAAAAAAAAATCATATTAATCACATCATAGTAAAACCAATACCTTCTCAGCTTTGCATCGAAGCTAAAATAATATTTGATTGACCATAATATTTGCCCTATCTGTTACTTTATATGCTAGTATATCTAATCATCTAATATAATATATCTAATAAAAAAATGGCTTCAAAATAAAATAATTTAATGAAATAGATCCTATAATTGATTAATTGTTTCATTTTCATATGACATAATATTTTAAAAAATGAACTAATAATTATTATTAAATATTAACTATATCATTATCGTTATC